TACGCACATTGACTGATACAGGCGGGCCTAGCGATAGCATCGGCCGGTTCGCGACTGTCGGATTTCAGACGATTGTCGGCAAACATGCAGGTCTATTAGTTTCTTAAGGGATGTCGGAGGAGGGTTGCTGGGTCGTGCTTGAACACAAGCTAGTACCAAGATTGTGTCGATTAGGGCGTAAAAATCCTACATCTTTTATAAATTGATTACTGTGCCCTCATCATTGACATTCTCTTTAAAAGACGGGTCGGTCACAGCAAACTGACTATTTCACCTCGCCGTGATACTGTTACAATGGTAAGAAAAACTGAACATGGCACCGTCACTTTAGTCTTTGTAAGCACTTTGACTTTACGGCACTTGCAACATAATATACAACATAATAAAGTCATACATGTGCCAACGATTTAGGTGTCTCAAGAAAGTAGTAACGAACTCAAAAAGGAAGGGATAAGGACGATAGAATATGTTTGAAAGGAAAGAAGGAGCAGACTACACCCGAGAACCCATCAACCACACGCACCCTATAGTTTAGGAAACTGACAAAATGTTTTGTAATGTGCATAGATCTAGTAAAGGAATGGTCATTTTACCCCATACTCACACTGTAACTTTCACAAAAATGACATGCAGAGTTAAAAAAGAGAATGGCTATTTCATTTGACCATCACGTAAAACTGCCACGATCGTTAGAAAGTGACTGACCATATTATAATTGCAACGTCACCCTACGACACTGACAAAATGTTGAATATCTGCACGAACTAGAAAGACACAATTTCATCCTCACCACGAAACTCACAAGTCACAACCGTAAGAGTAAGAAACTGGTCAGGTCGTCGCACCGCCACGATTACACTGACCACACAGGAGTACGTCACTGGGTCACTAACTACATAGGAGTAAGAAACTGGCGCATCGGACGCTTACCTCTACAGAAGTACCGTAGCTCGAGACCGTAGACTGAAGCTCCCAATATTCACACACCCGTATCTCTAGAATATTGAAATCGCTAGTACTTTCTCGTGTCATACGTATGCATGAGAAGGGGTTATCTCCTGTTCCTGTTTTCATGTTCGAGCTGCGACGTGGACCCTCCCAGCTGTTGTGCCGTTGACATAAGGTTACTACGCTCTCGCTCAGCCCATGCTATACGAGCCGGGGTTTTAGTTTTAGGCTTGGGCGTAAAAAGGTAGCGAGATGTTAGAGATCTATTACAATCGCTCTGTGTGTCAGTGGGTGCTCGTTTGCTCGGGGTCTCGGGGAATCTGCATAAATTGGACAGTATTGTTGACTCAGATGCGTTGTGTGTGTGTGTGTGTGTGTGTGTGTGTGTGTGTGTGTGTGTGTGTGTGT